TGCAAGACTATCCTGCTCCAAGTTTGGGCCTATATCACGAAGCAGGATTTCTTGCTTAGTTGGATAACTTGTGGGACTTAAGTTAGTATGGGTAATGTTTCAGACATATAGATCACAAACAACACTTGGACCAATCAATGAGCAAAAATCTGTATGTTGCATGGTGTAACAAATGGGCTTTCCCAAACTCTTGAAATGGTTTGTCTATGAGAATCCTGCGACTGTGGTAAAGCTCAGTCTTCAGTCTATAAGATCTTTCAGTAAAACAGGCAGTTTTTAGCAGCAGACTATTGGTGCCCTCAGGGAGAGATGCAAATCGATCATTTGCTTTTTAAGCCTCTCTGTGCTAAATCTTGTCAATATCTATAAAAAGAAGTGATCTTTGCTGTAAAGAGATATTGGATGAGTATTTTGAGATGATACCAACCCTTGAAAATAGGCAAAAGTCTTGTATTTTGTTTGGTAGGGAAGGGGTTAAGGTTGTCATAGGGACTAGGGTTTTCTCAATAAAAATGTATGGATGGTCCTCACAAAGATATGAATACCTAAACTGTGTGTGTGTGTGGATGTGTCTGCGTGTGTGATATGAGAGAAAGATGGATAAAGGGATATTGAATGGGTTTTGAAGGGTGCATGTTAATCTCGCTTCATAGTTTACCCCTTAGTTATGATAGTTTTTTCTTGTTTTTTTTTTTGAGCAGAAGATCAACAGGTGGGGTTCTTCTGGATTGCCTTCGCAGTCCAAAAACATGCTGAGGTTAACTGGAGTTACCATATTGCCCATAGGTTTGCATGTGTGAGTGCAAGGTGTGTACAGGCAGCTTGATTGTACAGACGTTAAGGACATATACTTATATACATCTTTTTGAAGCCTTGAGTAATACTTGTTCTGAATTCTAGCGAAACACTCTGCTATTCTCATGGATAAGACCCATAAAGTGATTCTAGATAAAAGGCTCAATGGAACGTCTACTGGCTGTAAGTGAGAAAGGACCCTGAGCTGTACATGATATTCAGCTCCTCTAAGTGGAATCACAGCTCTTTTATGCATCAAGGACTTCCACCGAGATCTAGGAGATTTTTTTTTCTTTTAAATACTTTAGACCTCATCCACTAACTGCACAGAAAGCAAAAACTGACACTGCATCAGATGCAGAGTATAGGTAGGTTCTGTGCACATGCACTGATATAAACGAGAAAGAGACATGAAAATCATTCGGTTCCTGTTTTGAGTGAAGGGCAAATATGGGATCAAAGGATGTTGTAGTTAAGCTAGAAAATGTGGAATGTCTTGGGCTCCCTGAGGACTGGCTTGAGAAACATTATTTTACACAGTCCTTCATGGGTACAGTGGAAATGGCTGATTGTAATGAGATCATTCTGTATAGTTAATCTGCAAATATTAAAAAAAAATCATCTTTGAAAAATGGCGGTCTCTTTACACAAACGCACTTCAAATGCTTGGAAGATTTTTGAATTGATGGTTGGTCAGTGCAGCAACTCCTGTGCATTTATCTTTACATAGGAGAGCCCTGCCAACGAGGATTTGCTGAGCCCCCCCCCCCCCCCCACCCCCGATGGCACCCCAAGGGCACTGGGAATAGAGGGGTCTTCGAAGGACATGGGGACAACAGCTGTTAAAACCCATGACAAAAGACGAGTGACACGTGTGTAGAAATTGAGGCCGTCTTATTTAGGTCAGGCCAAGGAAGATGCTGAGAGCTGTAAGTGGAGGACAGTGAAGGTGAAATCAGACCAACCCCCCCCCCCCCACCCCCACGAAAGCATAAATGTTGTCTGAATGAAAATGGACATAGTGTTTTTGTGGCTATTTGGAATAAGTGAGTGTTTGGCAGGGTAATATGGCAGAAATTCTGCAGTTTGAGGTTATCAGAGCTGCCCTCACTGCTTAGTGAAGGGACTGCATCCAATTTCATCGTATTTTGTATGGTGACAATAAAGATTCATTCATTCATTCATTAGCTGTGGAGAGGAAGTGATCAACGTCTGGCCAATCTGATGTCAGATTCAATACAGGTGAATCTCAATTCCAGGAACTCATAGACCATACTAGTGGTCTTGGTACCAGTCTTGCTAATGTGCCTTCCAAGAACTAAGTTGGCTTGCGATAAATCATGGGATTGGTCTCATTCAGCGAGGATGCAACCAGTGTATCCTCAACATTTGGGGTGGAGCAAGACCAACATCCGGGGATTTTTATCTACCTCTGTGCTGGTGTTCTTAGTATTGGAACTGGCAATGGAAGATGATGTAGAATGGATACATGGTCAAGTACGCATATTGAGATTCACCCTATGTTCCCATAGTGCTTTAATGGCTCAGTGATGAAAGGTCCGTGCGTGGGTCTCCTTTGATCTGTCCTATTTAAAAGGACATGCTTTGTGCTCTTCAAACATGATCTCTGTGTTTCAGTATGTCTGTGTTTGCATATAATTTTAAAAAATAAACTCTGAAAATAAGAAAAATAACAAGGAAAACAATTGCTCAGGGCTATCTGACGTACTGTATATCTAATTCCTGGATAGTTTTAATTTTATGAGATGGAAATTTAATGCATTTCAGTGTCTCCTCATAATCTTTAATGTTCTATCTGTGCTTTCTGTACAAACTTTATAAATGGATGCCAGAACAGCCTTCACAAAATTAGATTAGATTATTATTATTTAATTTTTTTCCCCGATGATCTCAATTGCACCATTTAACTGGTTCCTCTCTGCTCACCAATCATGTTATTGCTTTGTACCCTAACAGAAGTTCTTACTAAATTCCCAGCTCTCTATTACCTCGATGCTTGCGGACTTCCTGTATTACTTTATTCTTTTGTGTGTGTGTGTGTGTGTGTGTGTGTGGGCGGGGGCATTTGTCTTCATTCTTCTAAGATTCTTCTAATCTCTATCAGCAACTCCCAGACAGGTATTTGCTGGAGGACTGATAGCTCTCTCTCTCTCTCTCCCTCCCACCAGTCCCTTTTACCCTTTCTCCATTCAGGCCCTGCCCTCCCAATCAGATCACAGCACTGGGTGTCTGTTCACTGCTTCTTCAGCTCCAGCTCCCTCTCTTCACAATCCCACTCCCCTCAGCCTCTGGCCTGGACCCCACTGAGCAGTTTGACTCAGAAGGATCTGCTGCTCGCTGGTTGTTTTCAGGGCTCTGATGGCACTTTTGAACTAGCAATCTGTTTTTGGTCTGTCAGGAAAGAAACTGCAATTTTTTAGTTTTTTTTTGGGGGGGGGGGGCAAAGGATGGGCCACTATTCATACAGAGGGGCCAAGCTTATCTTTTGCCAATGGTACATTTTTTATAGGTGAGTGACAGGGGAGGGGGCACTCTGGGGGCCAGTCAGCTTTCAGTTGGGGCCAGTGGCCCTGTGGCCCCGCCCCTGTATATGTACCTGTAATCAGTCCATAACTGCCGCACTACCAGGTCCTTCAAACCTCTTCCCTGTTAACCATCATGTTCCTGGCCTGTCCTTCTCTGAGATCGCACCCCCATAAGGGGGGCATACAGACTGGGGAGTGTGTCAAAAGGATGGCTCTTGGATAAGGAAGCAGAAGCAAATGTTCATAAAATATATCTGCTATTTCTCTATATCTATTTTTTTCCAGACAGGACAGACTTTACTCACAGCACAGAGACTGTATCTGGAGGAAAACCTGAGATTAGTGAAAACAGCTGTTTTGGGAAGTAAATTAACAACAAATCCTGTTTTAACAGAAAAATGTCTGAAGCCGAACGGCTTTCCGCACTCCTCGGCCCTGGTTTAATTGCGGTGGCCATGTCTGAAGATTAGGAATGTCAGGCTTATCGGTGACACACCTGCATCCTTCCCTCATCTCTGCTACAGGATCAGGTGACCTCCCCTCCCCACCCAAAGTGTACATGGGTGTATATAGGGGTGGGCCCACGGGGCACTGACCTCAGTTGAAAGATGATTGGCCTCCTCCCCTGTCACTCACCACTTCAAAACAGATCATTGGCTAATAAGGTCAGCCCATCTATATGAATTATGGCCCCTATTGTGCCCCCTACCTGTAAAAAGAGCAGGTACCTTTTAAATGTAAGTCTTTCACGTTAAGAAGATGCCTGGAATTCTCACTCTTTCATATTAAAACATGCCTGAAATCCTCAGTCTGTGCTCTGCAAAGCAGCATCAGGTCTCCTGACCTCACTCTGCTACAGACACCGAACATTATGCAAATGCAGGGTTAGCATAGCGCTGCCCTTAGCGCGGATAGCAGCCATAAGTACGCATTTCCCAGTCCCCCGCGGTTCATTGCTTATAACATTATTTACATCTTAGCTTGCACAGGAGTTCACTGCTGTCATCTCACCATTAGCATTCACTTTGTAGAGTCAAAGTATCTTTCATTTGTTTTGTTTTTTCCCTGTTAGAACAACACTATAAAATTTAAAAATGTTTCCTCTCTGCTCCACTGTTTCATGAAGCAACAGCACAATATATTAGATACACGTCCACATTAAAGTCTGTAAAGGAAAACCAATTACTATAATTAAACTGATTGCTATAAATAAATAATAGAGATGATCATATTATCGTTGTTTTTGTTTCTGTTACAAATTAAGCTGAGATCATCGCGTGGTTAAGTTTATTTTCTGCCAGACAATCTCTTGAAATTTGCATGCGGATCATGGGTTTATCCATTCGTATTTGTCAAAATCTCTCTCCCAACTTTCATATAAGCTTTGAAAGAAGAAAAGCAACCTAATGGCCGTTCTTTGTCAGACGCTGTCGGATCGTTGTGACGGCGTTACTCTCATGACGTGCTGCTGCATTATGTTGTTTTTCAGGATGGCTGCAGGCTGTATTAACACCCTGGGGTGTGTGATCAGCCATCTAAAGATACCACTCCTGACTTTATTCCACCATTAAATATGACTCGTGTGAAATAATTGGGAGAGTTTATCTGGAAAAGAAGTATGTTCTAACATGAGCACATAAATAAATTAGCAAGCCTTACCTGCTGGCGGAGTTTATAACACCACTTTTCAAACTGCTGTAACCGTCTCTGAGGGATAAGTGTAACATTAACATGCTGGGCTTGTTGTAATCACTCTTGGAGGGGAGGGGCTTGTTTTGCCCAGACCCATGGGGAATGTCCCTCCGATTGGTTCTCTATTTGCAAGTTGCTCCCTTGTACAGCGGGCACTCAACCGACGGGCCCTTCTGTCTCATCAAGGGCCTCCAGTGTTCCCTGGGCATGAAGCCAGACTTGGTGGCCCCTCCTTGCCCCCCCCCCCCATGCTCCTGCTTGTCAGAGCATGACTACGAACCAGACTGCAAACATGCTGGCAGCAACAGCTGGGAGTAAATAAAGAACGAGAGGAGCATTTAATGGTTGAAAGCAGCAGCTACAGGATGTTTGAACACGCCATCTTGCCTGCTGTGCATCGTGGGACACGACAAGTGAGCTGGCCCCTCCTTCTGTGCTATTTTGCCGCTCTCAGCAGTCTACCATATTTTGCAATTAGAATAAAAAATAAACAAGTAAACAAGCCCCCCCATAGCGTCGAGGTCCGGCGGTCCTCCCCTCCAAGGCGTGTTGCTAACTGCCAGAAAATCGAGGCAGTGGTGGAGTTGCTGACTTGAGGGAGTCTCTCGGAGTGCAAACAGCTGAAGCCTGAGTGCTCACATCCCCATCATCAGACTTATGCTCTTCCTGCCTTCTACAAATGTGTTAAGCTCAGGCTGACAGAGACTGAATTAGCACGGAATGGTGCAGGACCTGATGGGATCACAGTGTTATTAGTAATTAAACATGTGCTATATATGTTCCCTTATTGTAATGGTGGATAAATCTGATTGCTTAAGAGAGAGCTCACAGGCATCTCCACTGTTAAACTGGGCTGACATCCCTTTCCTCATAATTCCCAAGAAGTCCCACTTCCAGCAGAGGTGCGCCCCCTAGCTACTGGGAGGACTGACTGCAGGGTGCTGGGTGGACAGTCAGAATCCGGCAGAGTAGTACTGAGATCCTACACTGTGGACACCCGGATCCAAGCATCTGCTTATGCAGAAGCGTGTCGACCAGCGGAGCCCGCATGTGGACCATGGCTGTGGCATCACGCAACATGGTGCCATCAGTTTCTGCCCCCCTATCCTGGCAGCTAATAAAAATTAATAGGAGAGGAGATCACATTAATCACAGGGGCTCGTTAAGATTCATTAATTGGCCAAATGATTTAGCAGAAGAAGAGAGAATAGCTCAAAGGCTGCTGTCCTGCCTGTTTCAACACACCTCAATAATCACGTCAAATTAATTAAGACTGGTATAACCCTCCATAAGCATTTTGTGATGCTCACATGTTCAGAAAGTGCCTTTCCCACGACACGACGTTCAAGAGCAACAGAATTTGGTGAAGTGCAAACTGGCTTCATCATTTCATGTGAAAACACCACAGGAAATTTATCCGTAATAACCCGCTCTGCATCGACATGCAGGTAAGTGATGTAAAGAACATGTAATAGCTCATTTGCTGACTTCGCCACATGTGTATGTGTGGGGGATGGGGAGGGTGAGCTGTATGCCATCAATTAATAACGCATCAGCACCTGTTCAACGCCACATTATTCATGTCGCCACAGTGAGAGCTGGGTAAACTGAGTGGGCTGAATGCTCCAGACCATGCAGCTTTTGGGGGGCTCTTAACCTCACCCTGTGCCTCTCCTGCTATGCCCTGAATGGGAGGGGGGGGCGGCATTCAGAGGAGATAGGATTTTTTTTGCCGTGGAGGGCCTGGGGGCGAAAGTGATAGATGCAGGCCGATCTTTAGGCATCAGTCAGTGCCTGTTTATAGCCCCCACCCCCACCGTGCAGCTCAGGAGATGTCCTGCCCCCACCTGCCCCTCAATAAAAAAAGAAACAAATGAAGAACTTCTGTAAATGAATCTCGTAGCTTTTCGAAAGCTGAAATATGTTTGTTTAGCAGTAAAACTGCTACATCATGTGATCCATAAAAACTTCATCCAGTTTGATTCTTTGTCACAGAAACACTATACAGATTTGGGCTTTGCCTGTCATTGTTGGGGGCCTTGGACCACCGCTCCAGTTGGCCATGACACTATGAGTTAGCGCTAAATAAGCTAGTTAGCGTCAGGCCACTAGCCTGTTTCAATATGCAAATACGACATGCAAATCGCCAAAGGGGGCGCCAGTGAGCGACACCATCTTCTTTGAAACAGGGCAGCACTGCAGCTCTGATTACATACTATTGTGGTTATCCCAGACCTTTGGCCCATGGTGCCATAGCCATTGTCTCCCATTGATGACTAGCCGCCATTATGGGCTATTGCAGGGCCAGGTATTGATTAACTGGGGGAGGGTGGTCGGGGTGTCTGTCAGGGCATAGTCTTTATTGTGCAACAGGAGACCACGAATGCCGTGCCAATCCTGTATCCTGGATTTTTGGCCACAGGTTTTTTCCAATGCATGCAAATTTTGATTTTCATTTTTGTTGTTCGTGTACGGTTTGAATGTTAACAAGCTTAAAGTTGTCCAGTGTCCCTTCATTGTTTGGGAATGGTTTTCCTGGGAAAGTATAGCAAATATCGGTGGTGGCGGCGGATTCGACATCCGTCAGACATGCTGTGTTTCTCAAGCCGTCCGAATGGCCCAATCGAACGCCGGCGAGGCTGCCGAAAGAGAAACCGTCGCCGCGTTGTGCAGAAATCAGGGCCACACATTTACTGCACTGTGTGTTGCAGTCAATGCATTATAAAAACAGCATCATTACTCCCTGGGAGGGTAGCCATTCCTCGCAGGTCCATGAGGAACAGCTAAGGTCCTCTTCAACTTCTCAGCACAGACTGTTACAGACACGCCAATACATATATAACAAGGGCACGACTGGTGGGATGACTTCCGTCCCAAGGAGACCCAGCATGTCTCGGGAGCACTGCTGTGGAAACCACATCCTGGCTGTATGACCAGTAGCACTGGGTGTTCATTTTGACAGTCGTCTTCTCCCTCTTTTAGATTTGGGTAATTTTTTAAGAAATTCGTGTTTTGCAAGGGAATCAGCTTACCATAATAAAGGGATTGTTTTGATTGAATTTCCCTAATTCTAGGCCAGAATCAATGTCAGAAAACCCACCAACAGCCACTTACTAGCCTTGTTATTAGGCTGGGTGGTATGTGTACCTGTTACTGGTTCAAACCCCCCCCCCCAATTCAAATACTAAATAAACAGCTAACAAATAAGAGGATCGTAGCTAGATAGCTGGTTAAAAGAAATGTGTTTATTTAATATTTATTGAGAGATGGACAGTCAGAAGCAGGTGAAGTGAATAAATGATAGTCCATCCCTGTCCTACAGTGGACTCAAAATATAACAGTTAGAACTGTGTTCATTGCCGATAAGTCGTATTGCCTGCATGAGGAACATTCTGGATCATGAAGGGCTGCATGAGGAACAATCTTGAAGACCTTCTGCAGAAACCTTCAAGAAGCACAGGCATATTGTGTCCACCCCCCAACTCAACTCTGCAGTTACTACTTCTCATAGCTACCTGCAGTTAAGGCCTTGCATCCCAAATGCAGCCTCTTGCTTAACATCTATGGTAGCGGCATCATGTTTTGGCATGTAATCGAGTCTCATTGGCCAAAAATGGAAAACAAATGGAAAAAAATAGATGAAATGAACCCAGCCAGTGGTGTTCACCCTATGGGGGGCGCTGTACACCTGGGATGAGCCCCGGCGCTGGTGAACGGCCATGCCAGATGTTTTCAGGGGCTATGGTGCCACCTGGGTTAATGCTGCACCAGTGTACTGGTGTGAGACATACCAGCTATTAGCTAGTTAATGATATCTGCTCCCAGTGGTGAGCTATCTTTCAGAAATGATTTGTCCGTCCATCCATCCATCCAGTCTGTCTGTAGCTCTTTACTCACACAATCACGACACGGTCTACACCCATAGGCTCGGCTCCATGAGTCTTTCGTCAACCACAACCATCATAAATCCTTGATGACTCAGAAACCCCAGATTCCAAACAACTTGCTCATTATCTACTCCCCTCACCATTTTTTCTGTAAACATTTCTTACAGAGTGACCCAGTTCGACAGATAGTTCCTCCCGAAGTTAGATATGAAGGAGTTTGCTTCACGCTCACGCCAGTTTGGTCGGCTCTAGGTTTGCACCCAGAAAACCCGCCTTGGCAAAAGCGAGAGAGTGAGAGAGACTGACGGAAGCTGTTCCAGGTGGGGTGATGGAGGGGGGCCCCCCACCAGGTGATGAAATGCGATGTGGGGGGGGGGGCTGTTAACGCTCCACCTGGAGGCACCTCGCAGAGCATCAGGGGCAGGTTTCTCATTATCATAAGGAAGGGGGGGGGGGTGTTATTGACATTTACGTCTGCAATGTAACGCCAGGAATTAAGCACATCCAGACTCCGAGAGCCCTGGGGACTCAAAACTCATAGAAGCAGCTGGAATTGTAACTACAACGATTGTAAACAAAGTATTATGGGATCTAAGACAAATACTGGCTGAATGCACAGCAAAGATATTACCAAAACGCATATGTAGATATATATACAGAAATACAACAAAATCCATCGGAATCTGAGTTTAGCTAACATGCTTATTAGTCTGTATCATGGTGCAGAATATTTCTTGTGTTTCTTATAATTAAACCTGTGCACCCCCGTGGCGAAGTTAATCAGTCGTTTTTAATTCTCCGTCTCTTGGAAGCAGCCCTCCAAGCCTCCTTCCCTTATTAATCTCCCGATTGCAGTCACATTGAATCAGAAACGCAGATTCCTGCCTCTTCCTGGCCCCATCAAACGATGTAGCACATTTGTTCCAGGAGTTGTTTTACATTAATGGTTACAGCGACCGAAGACTAGAAGAAGTGAACAGAGTATGATGCCCCAGAAAATTAAATTACTGCAATGAGAATTTTGATTGGACGCTTTTCAAAACCACAGTGAGGTTCTGGTTCCAGCAACACAGGATGTCATTACCATAAAGAAATGGAGAATGACAGTTTCCAGTTTTTAACGGTGA